AGACCCAAGCGAAGAACGTTGTTTGGTGTTTGACTTGATGGATTTGATGTTTTCAATATGATGAGCGCATATATAATTGAAGGATAGAACTTTTGATCTTGTGTAGGATGAATTCTCTCTTGAATAGAATGTGTTCAATCTCTTATTTGCAGAAAACGCAGCGCCTCTATTTATATGTTGGACGAATTAGATTGAATGGGGCAAGAAAAAATCTAAGAAATCGAAATTAGGTCTGGCCGAAAAACATCGTCGCTCGAGCGAGGAACATACTTCGCTCGAGCGACATGTGGGCGAAGGTCGAGCGATGGTGTCTCTGTTTCATCCGCTCGAGCATCACTTCGGCAAGTAGCTAGCGAAAAATCGGCGTGAATCCTTTTTATTTCAAACATGAAAACCCGAACCCTCAGCTAACCTACCACTATGAAACTTTACAATTCAATCCCTAAACTTTTATAATTGTTCAAGTTTGTCCTTTTGTTCACAGAATCACTAATACAATATATAAATCTAACAATAGCGACAGTTGGTTGGGACCACGAGTGTTTATGACCAATAAATTGATTGACTGAAATTAATAAATTGACTAAATTGTTGCCAATATATAATATGTGACCTAAAAATGTGATTGTAGCCGAAAATAATTTGTAACTAATTAATCTGACAATTTGTGATCCTTAAATACGTTATAACTTATAAAATTTATAAATTGTGATCGATAAATGAATTATAACTTATAAACACTTTCCTTTTGTGAGCAATGTATAAATTTTGACATATAAAAAATTTTGATTTGTGATTGAGAAATAAATTGTGACCTATAATCACAGCAAATGAATTAACCAATAGATGAATCCTGACCTTTATTTAAAAATAAGACGCTGTTTCGTGTCTTAATGCTTTGAATTGAGGGATTTACATGCCACAATTCTAAAAAACCAATATTCATGCCTGTCAAATATCGCTTACCATTGCACTATTATGCTTTCAATGCAGATTTAATTCCCGTGCATCGTACTAGAGTGCCAAATCGGTGTTTTGACCAAATTATGTGGCGTATTAAGTCAATTATTACTCAGTCATCCAAATTTATTTTATTCCTTGAATCGTCACTTCTATTGCCCAAAAAAAAAAAATCGCTTTTCTTAAAATAATTGAAAATCAAACACAACGAAATTTAAATATACGAGCAAAACATGTAAAGCAAATTAATAAAGACAAACCATTATTTTAAAACATGAAGCATCCATGTGTTGGAATCAAATCTTTATTTATCATTCTGTCAAATTCATATATCCAATGACGCGATCAAGCATGCAATTAAGGTAGTCCATTTTTCGAAGGAAGTTGGTCATTATGTGATTTGTCAATTACGTCTTGCCCTCCCCACTTTCGCATGCGCTCTGATGTTTGCTCAACCTGCAATTTGTAGTTTCTCAGCACAATTGCAAAATGGAAAGATAAGATTTTGTTCAAAATGAAACTAAGAATTGCGAACTAACCCATGAAAGAAATCTTCATAAGATGGAAAATCATGCCAGGGGTGCGCACATACAAATTTAAACATCATCGACAAGTAAAAGAAACATTTACACTTTTTTTCATTAAGCTTAAAAATGTTACTTTCAACTAGTTAAGTTTTAAAATAATTTTAATTGATTGGAAATGAGTGAAGTTGTTTATCAAAAGTTAGAAAAAAGTAAGTTGAGGGACATTTTTTTAACTTAAAAAGTTAGAGAGAAAAAAAAAAGTAGATTATTTTAAGCACGTTGCAAGAAGTCACTTAAAATCCAAACACATTATACAAATAAATATGGAAAACATTCTCAGCAATGTAGAGAAACCATTAATACGAACCTCTGTGTTCCAGTTGGTTTTGTAAAGTACCAGTAATAGCAGCAGCGTCTGCAATCCTACTCCGGCTATCATGCCACCCCAGAGTCCCTATAAAGAAAACTAAATCATTAGAATAGCCAAAAAAGAATTCCAATATAAATGAAGTGGAAATTTGACGTAGGAGACTGATGAGACTTTTTTTAGATGAGGGGAAGTTCAGGCTGTTAGTTAAGGATTGATGGCAGGCTGGATTCGGAGGACGAGTTATGCTTTTATAGAATCGGGCCACTATTTTCTTGTTCTAATTATGTCCAGAATCATTTAAGATGGAGGTTCAAGTAAAATTTACATACCATCACTCCAAAATTACAGACATAGCCAAGAACATATCCGAGGGGAAGACCAAAAATGTAATAACAACCCAAGTTGATGTAAGCTACTAGAGCTTGCCACCCACCTCCAATGGCAACACCTGCATAATTAAGCCGGAAGAGCAAGGAAACATTATGAACACGCCATTTTGATTTGCATAGACAAATACTTAAATCAAATAATCAGTACCTGATATCACGGGTTGGACACTATTGAGAAGCATTGTAATTCCAAGAAGGCCCGAAAGGTGAGCAACTGCACGTATCAAATTCTCGCTATTTGTATAAATAAGACCTAAATAATTTCTTGTTGCGAGGACGATAATCATGCAAATAATCCCAATCAGGAGTGACTGAGAGACTGTGACATAGACAGAATATTTGGTTGCTCTTGGACGTCTTAAGCCAAGCTCATTTGAGACGCGAACACTGGAATGTAAAAGTTTGGAACCGTGAAATTGATATGATAGTAATAAATAGAAAAAAAAAACAGAGAATGCAATTAAAAAGAAAAAAACATTAACCCATATGGCAACCATGATAAACAATATAATGAAATAAAAGTTATGAACTCTCCAGTACATTATTTTCGGGAGAATGTGACTTGAATTTTTGTTGGGAGATCACCTTAAATCGCAGTTCATGCTATCTAATCACCTCTCAAACTAGTGTTACATTCTAAAAGCAGAGCTATTCACTAACCAATATCATTTGACCGTACGAACGTGATAAACAAAAATAGTCCTCTAACCTGTCTGGATTCTTCAATCAATTAGGACCAAGAAATATAAATGAATTTTCATGAAGCACACTGAATTCCATTTTATCTAAGGTTCCATTCATTTGGACGTACAACATTTTCCGGGCACAATTTTTTTTCAAAGAAAATGTTCTTAAGTGAAATATTTTTCTGTGTGGTGGCAATATAGATGGCACAGGGCGGTGGATGGAAATTACTAGAAATCGACTGTATTCAATTCAAGTTATAATCTAGCTTATTTTAAAACAAAGTAAAAAGTATCGACAAGCGTACGTCATTTGGCCTTTTACCTTATAGCGGCATTAACTCCCATGAATGCCATGGATTCCCACCCATTAATGCTCGTGCTGACGGATTACACCAAAAGAAAATATTAGCATCTTAAAAGAAATTGAGAATACAAAAAATAAGGCTTATAGAGTGCATAAGATTGCAATTTCACCAAAGTTGAAATGGTAAATGATTAGTACAAATTCAAGTGACTTGTCAAATAACAATGATAGAACACTCATAGATTTATATGCCTTGAATTATCAATGATAAATTATTTTGTACTCTATCAAAGTGATGAATAAACTTAAATTGATGACTGTTCACCGAAGAGAGCTCGTGAAATTTGAAATCCCAACTTTTTAAATCACTATGATATATAGGAGGATGTAAAAATGACTTAAACTAACCAAATAGAAAGGGAACCAACTGCAGTTACGGCATTGCCAAGGTGTCCAGCGAGTACAACGATGCTCATCATATACCAGACCTCGAGGCATAGCATGATGGCGGATTCAAGGGAGAGTCTCACAAAGGCCCATAAATCCTTAAATGCAAACCATGAGAATCCCTTCCAACCATCCTTGCACCAACCAACCACATAACCAAATTGTGCTAAGGCCATAATCCAACTCGCAAGGTCCAATGCTGCAGCCGCACCAGTTCCTCCCCAGCCAAATGCTTGAATAAAAAGCCAACATAGAAAAACTTGTGAAACCAATACCAAAAATGATATCCAGGCAAGCACGGCAACTTTACTCTGGGCTTGAAGAAACTTCTGAGCCGGGAAACTGATGGCAAGGGAAAACAATTGAGGGATAACCTGAAGCGTATATACCCCTGCAAGATTTGCTATGTCATCCTCCTGTCCAAGTAGCTTCAGAATTGGGGTCGCAAACAAGTATAGTGGCAACAGGAGGACACAAGTGATGGTTAGGATTACTATCGAGCGTTGCATGTAAATACCAAGCATGTGAATTTGTCCAGCACCAAATGCCTGACCGCATAGCGTCTCAAGGGCACTCCCCATACCGAACTAGACATAGCAAAATAAGGTGCCATTTGTGCAGTCATATTAGATCGCTGTTTAAACCATACTTAGGAGTGTTTCAATTAGATTTAAGTAATTATAAGCCCATGTTTGTCTAACATTATTCCAAAAAATTGTTTGGCTACAAAGATTATCCACCACACATTCACCCAATAAAATATTTTACACACAAACCAATAAAGTTACTTTAAAATTTAACCACATATTCTCCAAAAAATACTATTTATTACTCTATTTTTCTCCAAATAATAGGAGACAAACACACCCTGTTGTAGATCCAACAGAATGTGTAAACAATAAATTGGTATCCTACAGAATATATGGTCTATATCACAAGAACAAATTCAGAAAACTTAATTTACGGGTTTTGAAACGTTTTCTTTTTATCAGATCTTCAGCTTCAAGATTATTTAGGATGAACTAGATAATCAAAAGAAGCAAGTGGTTCGGTGAAAATCACACCTAAACCCACTCGAACTTCAATTCCTACACTACAAATTGAGTCTTACAGACTACACAACGCTTTTTTCTAGCAACATAGCTGGAGCAATAAATCAGACGATTATGCTAATTGCTACCCAATCCAACCCAAATAATAAGGTGACAAACATACAGGTCTTCAATTTAAGATGACATATCTAGTCCAGCTAGAGTTTATCTAGAAAATGAACCATCCAGATTCCCAGAAATGTAAAAAAAAAAAAATTGAGTAATGTGATTCATAAACGGCGATGATAAACACCCATCTACGGAGCCACAAAGACCTTTATTCGTCAATTATAAATAACAGTATTCATAATTTGTTTTATTTAAAACCAAAATTGAGATATAATTGGCGGTGGTGGTGGTGGGGGTGGCGGTGGAGGAGGGGCTAACCAGGAGGCCAAAAGAGAAGGTGCAGATAACGGAGATAGTGATGGAAAAGGCAGAGAGTTCAATATCTCCAAGATGGCCAACAAACATGTTGGTAACAGAGTAGGTTCCATACTGGCAAAGAACTTGAAACACTATCGGGCCGCCTATTCTCCATAGCTTCACTGTCTCTATGCAGAAAACACTCCAACATGCACTAAGCCCCTTTATCGGCAGGTAGTCCCCGTTCTCTCCGATGACCTCTAACTTGTTGTCGGAGCTCCTATCAAGCAGCGGCGTCGCTTCCATCTCGCGGTGGATGGAGGTAGCTGAGGTGATAAAAAGCAAGTAAAGCGGTCGAACTTGGAAGGTTTTATACAGTCGAGCCTTATCTATAATCTAAGCAAAATTTAACGTTATCAAAAGACGAATTTTTTTTTTGTGTCTCTAGCATGGAAACTAATTGACACCTATGAGTACAAAGTCCGATATTTTTTACATGAAATTTCACATAAAATTAATAAATTTTATATTCATGTATTCAGTTAATTTATTACTTTACGTCACATCAGCTATCACATGCCATCATTTCCACTCTGTATGCATTGTTCCTGTTTTAGCCTATTTGGGATGTATTTGTCTTCCATTGGGAGAAAAATAGAGTAATAAACGATTTTTTTGAAAAATGTGTGGTAAAAAAGTAAAGTAATTTTATTGGTTTGTATGTAAAATATTTTATTGGGTGAATGTGTGGTAGAGAATCTTTCTGTAACAAATAATTTTTTGGAATAATGGTAGATAAAACTGGGGCTTGATAAGAATTAAAATTTTAGTTTTAATTTATTTCAAAATCAATAATTAATTTTAATTTTCCGCCTGTTTGAGATGTACCTTTTTTGTCCAAAATGCATTTTAAAATGGTATTTTAATGAGAAATGTATGGTTAAAAATTAAAGAAAATTTTTGAATTTTTGTGTAATATTATTTCATTGAAAAATGAGTAATTGAAAATAAAAGAGAAAAAATATATATTTTTTAAAAATAATGAAACCAAATAAGTGCTATACATTTCATAAAATTAACAACTTTTTAATAATATATTTCATCAATTTTTATCAATATTTATTAAAAATCATATTTTAATCTTACCAGGACTTGGTCCAAAAAACAAATATGTGTAATTTATTTATTAATTTTTAATAGATAGTGCCAGGCTGGGGACCATTTTCATTGGCTGTCAAAAGCACATAAACTTTTTAAACAGTAATTTTTCATTAATTTTATTAATTTTGCTAAAAAATAATTTTTTAATAAATTTTGATAAAAATTAAAGTTAAAAATTGATAAAATTTGTAAATCTCATTAAATGTGCAGTTGAAAATAAGAAGAAAAAATGATTTTTTGAAAAATGAGAGCAAACAGGAGCTTAAGTTCATATTTGAGCTCATTTCTCCCAAACTTATTTTAAACCTCTCATTTTTTCAATTTGCGCGTAAGTTCAAAAAAAAAAAAAAAAAATCTACTTAAATACGGATTCTCCTAAAAAAACTACTATTACAAAACTTATTTTTTCCATAGAAAGGGGCTCAAACACCGGCTAAGATTACAAACCTAGGCAGTTTTCTCTTCCATTTTCCTTTCCTTTTCGTCCATGTTTGGTTCAAGTAGTAATTTAGATTAAAAAAGTCCGTTTGGGCATAACTCAGTGGTGTAAATGACAAGAGTAAGGTAGTTTCAGCTAAGCTGGCAACCTCAGTGTGAGGATTCGATTCCTGCCTCTTACAAGGTATGAAATTTGACTCTTTGTGGGCACCAGTATAGCAGCTCTTGTACCCTAACCTATTGAGGCACATCCCGCGATCTACCTCCTCCACGATACTCTAGGGCAGGGCGGGGCCCTCAAGGTTGGGGTTCAACTTTTTTTTTTTTAGTAAACTAGATTAAAATCTAAATTAAAGTTAACAATTAATTTTAACCACACATTTCATGGGGTCTATATCAAAATCTACTAAAACGTAATTTTTATCTAAAACAAACATGGCATAGCTGCAATGAATTATAATATTCCAGCCTTTTAGAATTTTTATTTTTATTTTTTTCATTTCTGTGGTGTCAACTGGTTCCTTCGTTGGTCCGCCCATAATTAGAGCTGGTTGGATTAAATGGAAAACTGTCGGTAACATAATAGGAAAATTCAAAAAATGATTAAACCAGCTTTATGTTCAATGGCTTTAAGTTAGGTGTTCAGAGGTCGAGACATTCAATGTGCGGCGATGTGGGGATACAAGAACGTGCAGGATTGAATATAAAACTAGGGAATTGAACGCTTTGGAGATAAGATCATGTGTTTGCGAAGACTTAAATGGGTTCGCATTGATTGGAATATGGGTTCAACATAGATTTTCGGTAGATTTTTATATAAATTGATAAAATGTGTGAATAAAAAAATAGTTAAAATTTGTGAAATCTATAAAATATGAAGTTGAAAATAAATGAATTTTAAAAAATGGGGACAGATAAGGACAACAAAAGTAAAACATTATTCGTGTTATTTTCTGTTTGTATTTTTTTGGTCAACGAATTCTAGAAATTAGGTGGATTGTTTTACTTCATACGTTTATTAATAATCTTTTTTTTATTTTAAGTCTCTCGTGTTTTGTATTTTTTATTTTTGTGTCGCGATAATCCATAGAGAGCATTTTTATTTTATATTTTTTTGTGTGCCGTGTGATAATCCATAGAATTCAAGTGGATTGTTGGTCGAAGAATTCCCATCTTCACAACAAATTGAGAAAATTTTTAAATATATTTATAACACAAAAAATATAAAAATAAGGAACGTGGGGTGGTGTTGGGTTCAAGCTTGAATGGTGGTGTGAATGATAGTTGGACGTGAGGTTAGGTGAATTACATAAAAAGCAAGAACTAAATTACATTGATTTATGTGCCGTGAAAATTTAAAGACGGGTCGCTTTTAACTTTTTAGGATTAGGATGCCAAATTTAAAATTAAGTGATTCAATATGCTATCGATAGTCAATTGTCGTCAGTTCGGTATGGATTAAATGTATCATCGATCACTAAATTTTTAATGAACATGCAAACGGATCATTCATCTTTAATTTCGATCTCTCAACTTTTGTTTTCATGCAATAGTGGGAATTATCTACAGGGTTTTTATAAGTTTTGCGTTTACAGCATCCGATGACTGTCAAAAAAATATGTACCTATAACATCGTCCCACTCCATTTATCGTCGTCAGTATAACTAAAGTAATGTGCTAATAAAATCATTGGACATAAATCAAAGTCTCCTCATATAATAAATTAACCTAAAATCGTGAATGGTGCCGTAAATTACTGCTAATGGATTTGTGATCTAGCGTCAATGTAAAACAAAAAGAAAATGTTAAAGTAGAGTACAAATATTTTCTGACACCCAATATTATATTATTTTTTGGAAGATTGGTACAGTACTACAGTAGGATGTCTAGATGGGTCAATATCACGTGACAGGCTGCACTCGTATAATCGTATTTAAATAAACTTCACATAGTTTTTTTTTTTTTTAATTAGGAATACGATGTGGCACAGCAAATTTTTTATTTCTTCTTTCAACTACGTTTGGTAAGTTAACGTAAAAAATAAGTTATTGCTTAAGTATATAGACGTACGAAATGTTTTTTTAGCTTAAAAAATTGAAGTGGTAGAGATTGTGCAGGTAGATTGTTCAACGTCATTGCGTTTTGTTAAAATTGTGTTGTCGAGCATCAAAGTTTAGTGCATGATAAGTGTATTTTACGTGCTTATTTATGTTCCTAAATATACTTAATGGTTGATTGTTTGGATTATATTTTACTCATGTTAGTGTATATATTTGTGTTTATATGGAAGTGATGTGCAAAATGAATGAAGTTTGTCAATTAAAAGGGCCATGAATATTTGGATAAAGTTGTTGGAAATAGTAATAAAGATGTGAAGGAGATGTATCAAACCTCGGAAGGTCGAAAAATCAAACGTAGCACCTAAATGTGGAGAATGTTAGGAACTTAGAGCATAAAATTTGGTATAGAGATCTTCACATAAAATTTGAAATTCAATGCGTAAAAAAGTATCGCAATTTAGAGTTGTGGTTCAAAAAATTAGAGATTATGTCCCTAATTTGTAACGCACATAAATTCTGATCCACAACTTTGAACTGCGATATGTTTTTTTTTTTTTTTGTGCATTGAACTTAAAATTCAATTATCTTCCAATGAATATTACTTGCTATGAGAGATTTTATATTCTAATTTTCTCACGCTCTCCGCACGTAAGTATCGCGTTTTGCTTTTTCAACCTTCCAATGGTTGATTCATCCCTTCACTACTTCAAACCACCTTAGTTTATACGAATTTCCTCTTCAATATCTTAGTCGCATTTTCTCATGTCCAAGCCACAAATTATTTCCTTCTATAAAAATCACCTCCCAATCGGGATTTAACCTACAAACACAATATGTTAATATATATACACACTAATATAAGCATTAGTTCGTCCAAATAAGAAAGCTTAAAAATTTAGATAAACATGTAAAATACACCCATCAATGTATTTTGAATAAAGGCAATTAAAAAAGAAATGAGATAGGATATATACTTCCTTATTTTTTTTATTTTTTTTTTTAAAAGGAAAGAAAAATACTGTGTCAATAATTGATTCTCAAAATAAACCATTATAATAATCAGCCAACGAGAGACACGTGATTTTCTGTGATGAGTACGGGAAAATGTTAGGTGGAGGAGTGGTAGGTGGACATTTTCAGTAACAAAATAACTATCCTGGTCCCTGGATCCAATCTAGAGTACANTCCTGGTCCCTGGATCCAATCTAGAGTACAACTGTACAAGAAGACAATTGATTGCTGTCAAACTCGAACAAAAGCATGTTAAAACCTATCAGCGTGTTTGATTTATTTTTTATTTTTTATTTATGAAAAATATATTTTGAAATAGTATTTTTTATAGAGAATGCGTGTGTAAAAAATAAAAATAAAAATTTGAATTTACGTGTAATATTATTTTATTGAAAAATGTGTGATTTAAAATGTAAGTGAAAAATATATTTTTAAAATAATAGGGATCAAACAAGGGTCAAATCACGAGAGTACAACTCAGAACTAGTCAGTTTCAAGTGGTTGAGGTTCCATCATCAAGTGGTTGAGGTTCCATCTGAATTTATTAAAAATGGCACTAAGATGTTTTTTTTTTGAAAGGTAATCAAAATTTTATATAAAAAGCATAATACACAGGAAGTGTACTATCACTTTAAA